ATGAGATGATTATACCTCCCAAATATATTTTTAAGTAAAATAGAAAATAAAAAGGTAAAACAGGCACAGCTGGATGGCTCAATCAGTTAAGCATCTGACTTCGCCTCAGGTCATGATCTTGAGGTCCAAGGGTTCGAGTCCCATGTCAGGCTCTGTACTGACAGCTCAGAGCCTGAAGCCTGCTTTGGACTCTGTGTCTCCCTCTCTCTTTGCCCTTTCTTCTCTCTCTCTCAAAAATAAACACTATTTTTTTTAAAGTAAAACAAATTTGATTTAAATATATATGGAATCTTCCTGAAATATCAATGGTGGTTTCTATGAGGTTTTTTTTAACCATATTAAAATGTTATGATCTTTAAACCTCAAAGATAAAAATTAATCTCAAAATAAATGAACATGCTATTTACTACCAGGATAGTAATTAAAATAAGAGAAAAATCATAAAAATCTCAACTTGGAGGCCCCATAAACATTCTTAAAATTCACAGAACTTAGGTTCCAAGTTTTCATCTGTAATAGATTTTTATTGCTCAACTCTTTAAAAGTTCAATTTAGTTTTTAAAAATCAAATGAACATTATTTTGTAAATAGCAATAAATTTCAAGTGTGGTAAAAAAAAAAAAGCAAATCCTGCATTCTTCCTTTACTTTCAAAATTTGATGATCTCAATTTAAAACCATATCCCCTTACCCAAATGTTAGAGATAGTACCAGTACAAAAGAAACTGCTGTAAAGGAATAATCGTGGACTTTTAAAACTAGATCTCAGTTCAAATTTCTCAGTATCTTCATCTGTTATATGGGAACAATGGTACCTATTTCCCCCAACTTACATGGCCCAAACACTTCACATTGGGAAGAAACTCAGAAGCTGGTATCATTAACAGACTGAAGATATGATTCATAAACACGAAAGTCTCAAGCCTTCCTGGGAATGGTTTCTGTTCAGTATCATTACACTCATCATACAGATGAGATAAGGTCACCAGAGCCCAACTCAGGGGCTGTCATTATCACAGGCAGAGTTAAGATGTGGCTTAAGACCCAATGGTACCACAGGGCACCGGAACCTGATGCAATGGCAGCAGAACTGCTTATGTGTCCCTTCAAGGAAAGCCCCAATAAGCTCATAATGTACAGTGCAGATACTACTGGTAGCAGGAACAATTACAGAAGACAATCACCAGTTGAAACAACTTGAAAACCTCAGCTCTTGAGTACACTCAATCTAGCCAGCCAAGCCCTCTTCCAAGAGCTTACAGATATATGTATTAAGAGAGACCTTGAGGGGCAGGTAGGTGGCTCAGTCGGTTAAGTGTCCGACTTGGGCTCAGGTCATGATCTCACAGTTCATGAGTTCGAGTCCTGTGTCAGGCTCTGTGCTGACAGCTAGTTCAGAGTCTGGAGGCTGTTTCAGATTCTGTGTCTCCCTCTCTCTCTGACCTTCCCCTGCTCACGCTCTCTCTCTCTCAGAAATAAATTTAAAAAAACTTAAAAAAAAAGAGAGAGAGAGACCTTGAGCCTATTAACAAAGTCAGAATATTTAAGGCAATATTTGACACCTTTCCTTACTTACAAGCTTGCTTAATAATTTTTTAATCAATCATAATTTCACATTGCTTTTACCAAGGATCTCTATATATCAATCTGAAAAGAATGAGTAGAGATGCCTGAGTGACAGAAGTCAGTTAAGCATCTGACTCTTGATTTCAGCTCAGGTCATGATCTCACATTCATGAGATGAAGCCCTCCATTGGGCTCCATGTTGAGCCCTGCTTAAGATTCTCACTCTCTCCCCCCTTCTCCCTCTGCCCCCTCCCCTACTTGTGCTTTCTAAAACTAATTAAAAATTAAATTAATTAATTTATAAAAGAATGAGCATACGATCTCATCTAATGACGAGTCTGGTCAACTTCTTAGAATACAATAGAATCCCTTGATCAAATAATTCTTACATGAAAAACCAATGGTCACAGTGAAACCCTAGGGGTCAACAGAGCACAATGTGTGAAACAAGAATCTTATAGCAAAATAGGTTTAATGTTACAAAACAATACTTCCTCACAATAGTAAGAAATAATTTCTTGGGGCGCCTGGGTGGCTCAGTTGGTTAAGCATCTGACTTTGGCTCAGGTCATGATCTCGCGGTTCGTGGGTTCAAGTCCCGCGTCAGGCTCTGTGCTGACAGCCAGCTCAGAGCCTGGAGCCTATTTCAGAGTCTGTATCTCCCTCTCTCTCTGACCCTCCCCTGCTCATGCTGTATCTCTCTCTCAGAAGTAAATAAAACATTTAAGAAAAAATTTTAAAAAATAGTAAGACATAATTTCTCAATTTTCTCATCACCTCAACAACCAGAAAACAAAAACAGAGTGTAGCACAGCTCCAAACAGCTGTTGGCAAACCAGAAACTGAAAAACAAGGACTGACTGCAGTTGTGAAAACGCAACCAGGGTGAAGAATGCTACCACCAGCATCTCAACGGTCCACAAGATGGCGACATTCACAAAAATTCATACAGGACCAAAAGCACTGCAGAAGTTTCTTTACAGCCTGAGGTGCTTCTAACTGAAGTAACAGCAGATTGCTAAAAATTAAAACTCAGAACACTGATGACAGTGAAGACAACAGATTTTGTTGAAAGCAAGAAAACACTTCGAGGAAGGGTCCCTCTACCTTCTCCTCAACAATGCCCTTTATTACTGACCTTACCTCAGCAAAACCCTATAGGAGTTTCCACTTTTATAAGAATGAAAATGACAAGTTTGGAGGGAAGTTATTGTGAGATTCTTTCAAATCTGCAATCATTTCAGGACTTCAGTATCTGCTTAATTAATAAAACTTTACTTATGTGCCAAGTGTATATTAATTATTTTAACTAAATTACAGGTATTTCAATTAAATTACTCATTTGGTCTTCCTAAAAATTACACATGGGAAGTTTCCTTATCCTAATTTTGTACGTGAAAGAAGCTTACTAAACAGTTATTGTGGGATCCGGCAATTCCACTCCTAATTATATGCCCAAGATAAATGAAAACGTACATCCACACAAAACTTGTACGTGAATGCTCAGCATTAAAAGTAGAAACAACCCAATGTTCATGAATTGATAAATGAGTAAATAAAAGGTGGTATATCCTTACAATGGAATATTATTCAGCTATAAAAAGAAATGAAAAATTGATACATGCTACAACATGGAACATGGTAGGTGAAATAAACCAATCACAAAGGACCACATATTGTAGAATTCCAACAATCGCATGCTCCCTCTCTCAAAAATAAATAAATATTAAAAGAAAACTTTCTAATGGATTAAAATACACATCTTAGGGAAAAAAGAGTACATTTGCTATGTTTTCGATTTTTAATTCAATACTGGATATGGATTTAGAGTCTATATTTATGTACTCTCTTTTCTTTCAAAATAAATAAAAGTAGTTAATTGAAAAAGAAAATACAGGATATAACTAACTAACCTAAGTGGTAAGCACAACTTTATCTTCAGAGTAGATTTCAAGAAGTGAACGGGTATATTTAGTTTTAAGCCCAAGAAGAAGTTGTAATATAGAAGCAAAGGCACATCTTTTTTCATTTTTTTAAATTGTGGTAGAAAACACAGAACAAAAAAATTAGAATCTTAACCATTTTCACACGTGCAGTTCAGTAGTGTTAAGTTTATTCACAGTGTCATACAATAGATCTCCAGAATGTTTTCACTTTGCAAAACTGAAACTCTTTACCCATTAAATGACAGCTCCCTAATCGCCCCTTTATTCAGAGTCTTGCAACAACCATTCTATTCCTAGGAGTTTGACTACTTTAGGTACCTCATGTAAGTGGAAACATCAGTACTTGACTTTTTGTAACTGACTCTTTTCACTTATAATAATGTCCTTAAGGTTCAATCATGTTGCAGGATGTGACAGAATTTCCTTCTTTAAAAGACTAAATGATATTCCAGTGTATTTATATACCATGTTTTGTTTATCAATTCATCCGATAGATAGATATTTGGGTTACTTCCTCTTAACTATTGTGAATCATGCTGTTATGAACAAGGAATCATAACCTTCTTCTTTCTTAACATATTTAACATCCCAGGGAAACAAAACAGAGTTATAAATAAATGCATTTTAAGATAAATCAGTATTCTCCAAAATGTCTCCCAAAGTATATGTTTGAAGAAAGAAAGATTACTTCGATGATTACAGAAGTTTAGGAAAACCCAAAGTAAAACAGCTGCATTTTCTCCACTGCAGAAATTCTCAGAATCTTAGATTTTTCAATGTGCTTTATGAATTCCTAAGAGACCCTATTATGTGCAGTTTTGCCTAAACTTATCTGACCAGGAAGCCCTTGATACAGGGTCTCTTGGACTTAGGTTCTGAGGGTAGTCCAGTTTGTGCAGAACACTGAACTGAAAGTTGTCTTCTTTTGTACATGGCCTTGAATAGCCATAGGCTCAAAACATACTGAGGCTACTCGAATATCCATATATGGGCTTGATCTGATTAACAGGATTAGATCTATTTCTTTTCTTCTTACACATTCTTAAAGTTAAAAGAGTCCTGGACATGGTGCCAACAACAACAGTGTCACTCGGCCAATTAAAAAAAAAAAAAAAAAAAAAGCACACATTCCAAAATTCAGATTCAAGTACACGAAAGATTATGACATCTGGTCGTTACCTTTAAAGTAGCCACAACTAAAGTATAAGTATGATATTAATGTAACAAATTCATTACAAGTAGGAATCAGATATATTATAAATTATTCTATTACTTGGACTTGAGATCAGTGAAGCTTCTACCCACCACTCTTACTTTCACAAAATAACAAAACAGGTAATTGTAATGATAGCCTCAAATCACCAAAAAACTTAAATTAGTATGAAGCTAACTGTAGTTCCCAAACTACAGTAAACTATGAGAATAAACTATGAGAATGCACTTCTCAACCATGAAAATTAACAAAGATCTTATTAAATGTGTTACTTACTGCTATAATTTGGTCTCCAATTTGGATTCTTCCATCATGTTCAACAGCACTGCTCTTTGTAATGCTCTTTACAAAGATTCCTGAAGGCTCTAAGAATAGAAATAGGGTTTTGGATATATGTTTTTTTTTACTATTTACAAAGCATACTCAAAAACTGTAATTCCTTCATTCTCCAAATATGAAGTCCTAATTTTGAGTAATTATAAATCAACAAGCCACACAAACAAACCAATAGAAATTTAGGCTAGAGAATATGACAATGATTTTGTCTGTCAAATGCAGTTATCAGATTTCCTACCACTGAATTATTTCTAAGAAGTTTTCAGTTTATCCAACAATCTGAAAATACATAATGCTGATTCAATATTTCACAGAACATAGAAAAAATGAGAGGAAATTCTCAAGTGAAAAAAAAGTGTTTACCTAATTTCTTATCTCCAATATAACCAGCAATGGTAATTCCTAGTCCCTGGACATTTTTAGTGAGTTCTACGTCAAATGTCTCACTTTCCTCACTTTTCTGAGTAGAAGCATCAACCTAAAATAAAATCAGTAAATATATAGATCAATTAAACATGTAAACAAACAAGATAAAATCAAAAAGTAACAACCTTTATTTCAGAATCATACAGTGTAATTAGGTGGCAAAGAACTCCCCTAGAGAATTATAGTAGGGGCTATGCCTTCAATCTTAAAAACATGAACTGCCCATTACATTTTATTCAAAAGGAATGTCAGCAATGAATGAGGCTGAATATCCCCTTATCAGAGAAATACATCATTATTTGTGTGTATAAAATTTTAAAAATCAAATAGTCAATTGGCTTATCTTCATTTCCACAGCTGAAAAGAACTCATGTTTTGAATTCAGGTCAACAAGTTTAAATCTTGTTTTGCCACTGAATTTTTCTAAGCACTGCTTTGCTCAACTGTCTATCAGGATAAGAATAACAAGTCCAGCTAACATTTATTGAGCAGTTTCTATGTAACAGACACTTGACTTGTCTTAATTCATTTACTCCTTAGAATAAGCCTATGAGGTTAGGTACAGTTACTATCAATTCTTCTCTGGGGAAACTGAGGAACATAAACCTTTCCAAAGACAAGCAGGAAGCAATCTAGTAGAGGAAGAATTCAAATGCACAGAAGTTGGCTGCAAAACCACTGCTCTTAAAATGGTTTGCAGCACATGAACTCCCTAGTAAAATATAGCAGCCACGGTGTCCACTAAGTTGCTGTTGTTATGATCTGAGGTTGATAGTTGATATTCACCATGAATATCAATTAATCTATCTTTCAGATATTTTATTAATAGACTGAAGATTATTTTGAAAGCCAGTGAAATGCAACGAAGCTATTTAAAATTGTTACTGTATTTGTTCTGTAAACTCAGACTAATGTAAAAAGCTCTTTGTAAGAAAAGTATGCCCCTCTGCACTGATCTTCATTCCTGAAATGACAGCTGAAAGCAGGTTTCTGTGACATGTAGAGTTGTTATTAATTGTATACTGGGCCGAAGGGCATGGTTCTCTGCATTGAGCACTGGTGGACTAGCGCAGTAAGTCACCAACAAGCTACTGGCATTATGCACTTGATGGTTCCAGCAGATTCCCCAGAGAACCCTGCAAAGATCACAACACAATGAAGGTTACGGGTTCGAATGCCCACACATATTGTGGTGAGTTGGTAACATTTTTTTTGATTGTCTTTAAGCAAACTCTGACTATATCTCACATCTCACAGAGAGTCCATCTAAATGAGATATAATTTTATAGTAAAGTTTGATTTATTTTTTTCCTTGCACATAATTATCTGTGCAAACTTAGCAAAAGTTTAAAGTTTAGATAATTACAAGAAAATGACAGGATGAAATCTGCTTCAATTGAAACAAATGTGTTTTCTATTTTTAATAAGACTTATGCGAGTGCTATTTTAGAGGGTGGCAATTTGACTATCGAATGGTTTTAAAAGGGGCACAGGCTTCAGAAATGATGATATGCACAGAATAGATATTTTTCTAAGCTTTCAATTACATCAAGTGGTTTTCGGTATTGCATTCATTTATATATTGCTGAATAAAATGTTTTGTTTACCACAAAAGAATGTGATTTAAATACTTTCATACACAAGCTTTTTTTTCTTTACTTCTTTTTCTCTGCAAAAAATAGCAACTAACTCAATCCTAAAAACAACAGAATCATGGAAATTTCAAGTGTTCTAATAAAGTTTTAAAGGGCTTGTGGAGGATGTTAGGATATTAAAAAAAGAATCTGTAGCAACTAATTAGAAAAAACTAACAGAAAAAAATCATTGATGTTTTTAGATCTAGTAGAAAGGAAAGTAGGACTTGCATTTGCTATAAACCTTATCTAGAAATTGGGTGTAATTATTTTCTTAAATATTTAAGAGATTTTGGGATAAAATTATTTTGTTGATACTCCCTACCCCATTTCCTCCCCCGCCAAAAAAGATGCTAAAAGGAAAGCTGTTGAAGGAGAATGACTAGAACTCAAAGCCCATCTATAACACAGAGCCTTCTAGTTAAGAGGAAAATAGAATTAAATATTTTAGTTATTAGTAGCAAATAACTCTTTAAAAACGTTTCCCATTTTGTTTTCAAAAGACTGCCATCATAAATGTGATGCTTAAGAGAAAAAAATGTAAAATAGTAATCCAAAATTTTTTAAAGAAACCTATTTTTCATCTAACATATTATTCCTAATTAATAAGATATTAGTGCTGAAACACAGTTACACTTGAATTTACATTCTTTAGCATTAAGATGTAAATATCATTTAGACTATCATTTAGACTTTAGCATTTAGATGTTTCTGAACATCACTATCATCTAAATGCTACTGTCTATGACTTTCCTCCTAATGTTTCCACCTCCTTACCCGCATTTCTGGAGTAGACGATGGGGATGAGGCAAGCGTGATGCCCATAGAGGCAGGCGCTGCTGGTTCTTCTACGGCACCTCTTGCGATCACCAGTTTGACTCTGTTTCCACACTGCCTGAGCACTTGTGCTACCTGCTCACTGCTCATTCCAGCTAGATCCGTGTCACCAATCTTTAGAATGTGGTCTCCACTGCATAATCGCCCATGCTGAATAAGGACATCAGTTAATCAGAATATTGATGTATTTTTTAATTTCCTTAAGTTTATTTATTTTGAGAGACAGAGAGAGAGAGAGCACAAGCTGGGGAGGGGCATAGAGAAGAAGAAACAGAATCCCCAGCAGGCTCTATGCCGTCAGAGCAGAGCCTGATGCAGGGCTTGAACTCACAAATCGTGAGATCAAGAGTCAGATGCCTAACTGACTGTGCCACTCAGTTGCCCCAGGATATTAATATTTTAATCTCATCAGAGAAATCCTAAATGAGGGAAAGAGAATAATGTAAAGACAGCAGTCATGTGAATTACCAATCATAGAACATTAAACATGTGGTTGTTATTTTAACTGTCTTTTGAAGCATCTTAATGTTATTTAATTTGATATAAGCAACTGAAATTCACAAATATTCCCTAAACCAACAGTTGATAAGAGCTTTTCATTTTGATTTCTACCCACTAGATGCAAGAAAATATAAAGCCTTTTGTAAACTTTTTGAAAAATAGAAAACGAAGAAAATGCCACTAAGCAAAGATGAAGCCCAAGTCACTATGCAAATACATATTACTCAAAAGATATAGTACAGACCACAAGAAAGCACTGAATACTACAACTTTCTGTCTTGCATTTTCAATTAAAATTATCCCTAAAAAACTCATTTGCAGATGAAATCCTTATGAGATGAAAATTTAGATGGGTAAGGGGAATGAAAAAACAATCTTATTACCTCCAAGCAAGTACTACTCACTAGAACTTTCTTCAATGACAGAAATGTTCAGCATCATCCAATATGGCAGTTACTAGTGACATGTGGTTACAGAGGACTTGAAATGTGGCTAGTCCAACTGAAAAACTGAATCTGTCATTTAATTTAATTTTAATGAATTTAAATTTGAATTTTAGAAGTAGCAAGTAGCTACAAGTGGCTAGATTATTGGACGGTCCAATTCTATACTGAAGGTAAAGCTTAATTTACTGCAAGCCAGTCAACTAGGGGAATTTCACTAAATATTGTAGATGCTGGCTAAGAGCCAAAAGGAAGAAAATATGTATATTATAGCGTTACTGTCAATACCTCTACTGATAAAGCTGCCATTAAATAAACCTTTTGTTTATGAATATGAGAAATATTTGATGAACTGACCTCCTAGTTTAAGTTCAAACATACATGAAAAAATAAACAACTTGATAAACAAAATGTTATAATCACAGCAAAAGTTACTTACACTAAAACTTTTCAAATTAAAATATAAATCATAACTGATAACTTTACAACAATTTTTCTCACATATATTCCAGCAATGTCACATAGCATAAATGGCAATGCTTTAATGAACCACTCTGAGGGATAAAAATAGGCTGTGCTTCATTTACAAAGAAGACACAAGTGACCCATCACTAAAGGGATAAGTTGAATCTTGTTTTTTTTTTCTCTCAATAGTAAAGCATTCTTCTTTCCAGAATACATTGTGGTTAACAGCAGCTAAATAGGATTTATGATTGTAAAATAAAAGGTAGCTAACTCTACAAGGATTAAAATCATAACCTGGGCTTTAATTTGTGGTTCTATAAGAGTCTTAAGATCACTGTAACTTAAGATCAATGTCCCTTTCCAAAGATATTTCTCCCAGATGTTAAGAAAACACTTCAGAAAATGGCCAGCAAAACAAAAGATTCCAACTCATAGCTTCTTTGACATTATAAAGCCCAAATTTCTTCTAACACAAATACAAGTGATGAATGCACAGGGGTTCCTGGGTGGCTCAGTTACTTAAGTGTCTGGCTCTGATTTGGGCTCAGGTCATGATTTACAGTTTGTGAGTTCGAGTCCCGTGCTGGACTCCACTGCTGGCAGTGTGGAGACTGCTTGGGATTCTCTCCCCATCAATCTGTCTTTGCCCCTCCCCCACTTACTCTCTGTGTCTTAGAATAAACAAACTTTTTTTTTTTTTTTTAATGTTTTATTTATTTCTAGGAGAGAGAATCAGCGTGAGCAGGGGAGGGTCAGAGAGAGAGGGAGTCACAGACTGAAACAGGCTCCAGGCTCTGAGCTGGCAGTCAGCACAGAGCCCGACGCGGGGCTCGAACCCACGAACCGCGAGATCATGACCTAAGCGAAAGTCGGAAAGTCGGACGCTTAACCGACTAAGCCACCCAGGTGCCCCTAGAATAAACAAACTTAAATATATATATATAAAGGCATATAATTTGATAAAATAGCAAAAAAGACATGTTGGAAGAGCTTACCTGGTCAGCTACTCCTCCAGGCAGAATGGTTTTTACGATCACACCAGTTGCTTTTCCTCCGACAATGCCAAATCCCAGTCCAGATCCATCATTCACCAATTCAATAGTCTCCACATGCTGCCAGTGAACCTAAAAACAAAACTACTGTATGAGTTTGAAAAAATTTGGGAAAACTAAAAGTTCTATTACAGTTGAGATTTTTGTGATTATTTTGTGATTAAGAGTTCAGACATAATAAGCCTTAACAATGTTCCTTTTATTTAGTATAGTTTATTTAGTATAGCTCCTTTCAACAGACTGTAACTGCTATTGACATAATCATTCTTGAAATTATCAATATATCTTTATAGTGACCACATTTAACTAGTTGGAGAAAGGCACTGATTTGCAAGATCCTTTGTAGAACTTCTAAAACAAGAAAAAGATCAAGGAGAAATCATCACCTGATAAGGTTATCTTCTGTAAAATCTTGACCCAGAGGATTTCAAATTACAGGATTCCTTTAAAGTTACTGACAGCTAACACTAACAGTCTAATTCTATAATTTACAAAGCAAAATCAAGACTCTATCTATCTACAGATAGAGTCGGATTTGTTGAAGAACTAATTTTTTTTTTTTTTTGAGGAATAGTCAGTCAGCTAAAAGAATCACACAAAGAAAGGTTAAAGTTGATTTAGAAGACTTAGACTTAATCATAATTAAATAATAAACGTTCCAAGCTAGGGAGAGATAAAAGAATAAAATGGGAAAAACTGAAGAACTACAAAGCACCTACAGGAAGTGGAAATCTATAGACAACCAAAAGAGCTAGAAAAATATATTCTGTCCCTTTTAAAAATCTTATGTACTCACCGGGTTAGAGTGAGCGGAAATTGTGCTGGCCGCAGATGGAGAACGGGACACTATGGGGCTGATGAGCTGGGGCAGTGAGCCTCTGGCAATAACTAGCTGGACATTATCTTTGGCTTTCTGCAGGATGCTGATAGCCTGCTGATGTGTAATTGTCTGATCAAGTGCCTGTCCATTGATAGCAAGGATCTGATCAGTTTCTTTCAATCTTCCATCCCTAAGAAGAAGGAAAAAAGGGGTAAAAGATAGCTGACAGATTTCAAGAAAAGGACAGCTTCTTTGGCATATATTCTCAGGTTATTTTTAATCCAGTTTTCTAATGTCCACACTTTTGAAGCTCTTCCTTATAATCCTAATTTCAGAAATATAAGTTTGGGCTCCAGGTGATCCATTTCTAATCAACCCTTCCCATTTAAAAGCCACCTTCTTTATGGCTCCTCACTCAACCTATACGTTTATCTTAGATGTTCCCATATACTAACAAATAAAAGCAAAGGTACATACATTCAGTTGTTGCTTTGACTATACTAATAAAATATAGTTCAAGCTCTACATGGGTCATTTGTATGCTTTTCTTCAGAGTAACTTTTAAATCTAATCAAAAGAGCCCTTTTAATAACAATGAGAATAATGTTCTGCTCAAATTTTCCTTTTCTTCCTAAAACGTGATTATGACTGTATTTAAAAGATACCCTTAAAATAACTTGCTTATCATGGCAGTGTTAAAGAATTCTAAAAATTGGTTCATAACATTATATTGTCTTTGTTTTAATTCATTATTTTTTCTCTAAATTCTACCAGGGCGACCATACTTTTTGAATGTGGCATCAAACACAGAGAAGACGCAATGAGAGCCTAACCTGTGAGCCACGCTGCCCTCTTGAATCTCCTGTACAAATATTCCTAGTTCTCCCCGGTTTTCACTCCGGAGCCCCACAACACTAAAACCAAGGCCCCCACATGAAGGTTTGAGGAGCTCAAAAACTTCTACATGGCGACCCTGTTCAGGAAACAAAGCAAGAAATAAAATTAAAAGTCAATCATTCTATTCAGTTATTTTATTAATGGCATTACGTTGCTTAAAAAAATAATGGAAATTTTAAAGAATTTTCTCAGATAAGCTTTATCACTCATCACCTAAAATGAGGCATTTTATTTTTATTTTGAGAATAAAAAAATTAAGAAAAATGAAATAGAAAAATCTCTGAAGCACCCAAACTCCCACATAATCCACTTCTTTTCCATTTCAATTTTTTTCAAATGTTATGCCTTCATAAATACATTTAACAATATATATTTTATATCTATATAATGTTAATATAAACATATATATTCTTCCAACTATCCAGGGCCCAATGACACTGTTCTATCATAACTAACAGGAAGAAATGTTCTTACCTGGGCCATATTTTTTATTAGTTGATCAAATTCATCACAAGCAGGTTTCCCATTGATGTGCAGAGTACCAGACCCTGTAAATGCTTCCAGGTTCCCATTATTTGAGGATGATAAAAACAAATCATTTTGCAAAGGAGGAACTACAGCTGGGCTGAGATGTGGAATGTGGGCATATTCAACGTTTGAAATTGCAGAAGTTGCAAAGTTTACCTAAGAGCAATATGGAGATTATTAACAATTTTGACATTCCATAAACTATTTTATAGGAAACATCCCAAGAGGGTGATAATGAAGGTATATATACAGTTTCAAAAGTGTACTCTTTCATTCAGCAACTTTATTTCAAGAAATTAGTTTCAAGGAGCAAAATGAGAATAATACACAAAGATATGTGTAAAAGGAAGCTGGATGCAGTACTTTTATCAGATGGGAAAATTTTTTAAAAACTACCTCCAGTGTTAAAGTTTAAGGTATCATTAAAACACACACATGCACACCACAAACATGTACACATTCATATACAAACTTGTGAAAAAGGCTAGTTATCAAAGTATGGTATGATACAATGTACATTCAAAAAAGATGTTTACATTTGTATTAAACGTCTGGAAGATTATACACCAACCAATATAACAGTTGTCCCTGAGAGATGGGATTCCAGGGTGCTATTTACCTTCTACCATCTTGAATTCTATTTAGAATAATGCATGTAGTAATGAATTTGGTTTTTCCCAAAGGCATGTCTGACTTTTATCTTCACTTCCTAGGAAGTAACCTCTAAGTCCTAGGACTTTCCAGAATGATAGGAGTGTCTTTTTGCTCTTCATGGGGGGCTCCAAGGCTACAAGATATCAGCCCAAACTGACACAAAATTAAACACACAGGCAATCATTATGCCTATAAAAAAATATTCTAATAAAATTTCTAAACACCAAAATCAGGCAAGGTTCCTGGGTTGGCAATACTCTGTGCATACTGGCCACATACCAATTGGGGAAGGAAACACTTTGTGAGGAAAATGAAAACTTCGTATTGGAAATCCTCTCAGACTGTACTATGTCTTCCTTTGGCTGATGTTTTTTACCCATACCCCTTTTTTATAATGGACCATAAGCTTGAGTATAAAAGATTCCAGAAAGTTCTGCAGGTCCTTCTACTGAATTACTGAACCTGGGGATGGTTTGAGGCAGATCCAGGACTTGTAGTTCATCTCAGAAATGACGATGGTCTTTTCTGGATTCTTCCCTCTAACTCCTTAGTTAGATCTTAATTCTTTGCTGTTGGTGCCAAGTCCTCAACAAAGTGGAAAACCTAGAGAGCTGTGCCTTTAAACCTTGCAGTTTGGCTGACTCCAGGTACAATCACATAAGTAACAACAGTGACAAAAAAAGATAATTCCATTTTGGAAAAACATTCTATAATTATTTATATATGCCTGTTATAAAGAGCACCAGTTAAAGCTAAAAAAATTCCCAATTCTGTAGGGTGTCTGTAATGTAAATTTTTACCCATAATTATTTTTCAGACAGAGTACATCCATGGTGCTTTTGGATCAGTCTCTTAACTCATCTCTTGCACTGTGTCTCTCACCTACTGGGCTCCAGCTATACTGACCCCTTCACAGTTCCTCAAACTGCCAAACTGCTCCCTCTATCAGCTACATACATCCTTTCCCAAGTATCTACATGCTTATTTCTTTATTTCATTTAGGTGTGTTCAACTTCATCCCAGAGAACCTCTCCCTGACAGTGCTAGCCACAAGAGTACCCCACCGTTAGGTTCCATGAGCTTACCCTGTCCTGCTTCTCTCCATGGCACTTATTACCACTTGCTGTGCACCCTGTGGTCATGGGGCTTCCATCCCAACTGGTGGGGACAGATTAGAATGCAGAATTCTCCAGTGGAGGAATCTGAGTATTTTATTATCTATTATATCCTCATTCTCTAGAAGAGTGCCTTACAGAGTTGGCATTTAATATACATTTGCAGAATAAATGTTCATCTTTTTAGGGACCTACTCTGATCTCATTTCACTGAAAAACTCCCAACTATCATTATTTCCATTTTACAGATGACATAATTACACAAAGTTGCACAGCTAATGAGCGGACTGTGACCTAGATTTTTTTATCACAGTGTCCCTATGTTTCTACTATACACATAGCAAACAGTCATTTGAGGTATCATTTCTGGAAATAAGGCAACAGTAAGGAGTTTACACTGACAGAGCTATCAAAATATTTTACAACACATCACCAATCCATGCCTAAGAGTCTGCTACCTGTCCTTAAAATTGAACAGAAGACTCAGTAACTTAACGAAGCTACCCCTAATCCAATCGTTATTTGGCTATCTGCAATCATAGTTAAAAAATAAAGAGGTCAATGTGTTTAGAAGAGGCTTTTAGGAATCGTTTCAAATGGTTATTTTGCAATTTACAGCAGGCATGATCAATTAGTATTTTTTCAAAAGCAAGCTCCTTATGCCAAACTTGATATTTTTTTTAAATCCTGAGCCATGGCAACTTCAATGAAGTCTGCCAGCAGAAGATACACCGCTCAGGTTGAAGCAGATGGCATAATGAAATCTGTGACAGGCTGAGGATCCCACACACCAAGACCTAATACCTATGGTATGTTTGCACAGGAGAAAAATATTTGGACTTCTGCTATGGTAAGCCAGAATGAACAAGCCACGTTCTAATAATAGAGAGTTTATCTATATGAAGTTGACTGGTGAAACAGAAGCTCTGATATCATGGAAGACCATGTGAAGGCACTCTAAGAGTGAAGTTACAGGACCACAACAAGTATAACACTATGAGAATTAGATAAAGTACTGAATATCAACTGTTTTCTCCAAAGTTGCTGAAGGGTTAACCAATGTCAATATCTGTTCCGAACTCCTCTTGGCCCTTGAGGTCTATGTAAATGTAAGAGCAAAGGTTAAAGAGCTCACATAATTAAAAGCTGTAATCTAATTATATCATTATACGAAAGAGTTGTTTTTAAATGTGCAGATTTACATTCATTGGAAAAAGCACAGGCACCTTTCAACTCTGCTGTAACTGTTTAATAAAATGGCTCTCTGAACTATATATAATCTTGAAAAACAGGAATGGATCTTACTTGCCTTGACAGACCTGTTCATAGCAGACACAGCATAAATGTTTAATAAAAAAGCTTGACTCCCATCTTGGTTTATAAATGTAAAATAAACAGAAGAAAACACAACTATCTGGTGATTTTTATATACAGATAAACAATCTGTATAATTTATGTAAGTTGCTAGTAAACGAGCAAGAGTCACCAAATAATTATCTGTTCTCTGTTTAAGTTCTGGCTGAGTATTTCAATCTAAAAGGGCCTTTTATGTTCTTAGTAAATAAATGTATTAGCCTAATTTATGGATTTTAATTAGTACTAATACCTAAAATATAACTTAAAATGAAGGTTATAGAAATCATTCAATTAAAAAGTTGTCAAATTCTTTGTAAAAACGCAGGATGAAACACCCTTCAGTATTTAGGAGTACAGGTTAAGTCTTCTTATAAAATGTAGTCAGAACAGGAATTGGTTCAGTTCCCTCAAAGCATCAGAGCAGAAATCATAACAAAGGACAAATACATGACCTGGAAAGTACTTTAATTAAAGCATGTATGATTTCATTCACAAATACCTTGATGAAGGTCCCCACCTCCTTTTCTGCATGTACTGCATTCATATAATTTGGCATTACTTTTAATTTCAGTCTCTTTAAGGTAGTGGGAGAATCTGGACACTTGAGACACAATTTCATTAAAGAAACCTCAATTTTTAGAAGATCTTTCTTCAGAATGTAAGTTTGATCACATAAAACAAATTTACCAACAATTGTTTTCTCAACTCACTTACATAGTCTTCCAAGAGAATTTAAGTCATCGAAAATGTCTCTGCAATAACTTTTCTTTTTAATTTTTTTTAATGTTTTATTTATTTCCAGGAGAGAGAGAGAGAGACAGTGTGAGCAGGGGAGGGTCAGAGAGAGAGGAAGTCACAGACTCTGAAACAGGCTCCAGGCTCTGAGCTGGCAGTCAGCACAGAGCNAGAGAGAGAGAGACAGTGTGAGCAGGGGAGGGTCAGAGAGAGAGGAAGTCACAGACTCTGAAACAGGCTCCAGGCTCTGAGCTGGCAGTCAGCACAGAGCCCGACGCGGGGCTCGAACCCACGAACCGCGAGATCATGACCTAAGCGAAAGTCGGACGCTTAACTGACTAAGCCACCCAGGCGCCCCTCTCTGCAATAACTTTTTATGTTATGTAATAAAGTCATGTAATTATAAAAACAATTATGACTGGCAAAGCAGCTCTACAAAGAAGGACTCTGCTAAACGTACATTTACACAGTGACAGCTGCAGAAGCACATACAGCAAATGTCTGAAGGAATAAATGTCCTGTGCTCTGAGCCTCAGTCACGATGCCTTCCAGGACTCCTCAAAAGTAAGTGACTTATTTGGAGGTATTGCTAAGAGAGCGGCTGCTTCTACAATAGCATTCCAGGAAAACAAAATATTCTCTTTAGTTGTATATATAATTAAGCTCACCCTGTGGAAGTAGCTATATCAGAGTAACTCTTCCACTGAGATCAATTAGAAAATGTATATAAAGAGCTGTAAAAACAACAACAACAACAACTCTGAAGGTGTCAAAAAGAAACAACCCCTTCTGCCGTATTCTATTCATCAGAAGTACATCAATAAAACCCACCCCACACGCAAAGAGAAGAGATCACACAAAAGCATGGATACCAGATGGCAAGGATTACTGTGTCCACCCCAGAGGAGGACCACCTCAGCATGTCATAGTGAAACTGTTGAAAGCCAAGACAGGGAAGATGTTAAAAGTCACCAGACCAAAAAAAGCACCTTAACTTCAGAGAAGAGTAAAACTGACAGCTGACTTTTCAGGTTAATCAATGAAAAACAGAAGACAATAGAATAAAAAACGAAAACAACAACAAAAGTCACCTTAGCATTTTCAGAACACCTTCCCTACACACAAACTCACACACAGTGTTGCTTCAGAACTGTACAAAAGAAATACACAAGTAAATTCTTAGAATTAAAAATGATCCCTCATGGAATTTCCCTACATTTGTAGAAAAGATTGAAGAACATAAAGAAACAAGTTTTTAAAATGTGAGTAGAGGTGTCTGGGTGGCTCAGTCCAGTT